ATTTCCAAGAGAAACAATGAAAGGTAAGGGAATGGGTCCTATTCAGGAGATAAGAGTAACAAATATATCAGGTGAAAAGTGGGAAGTCAGTTTGGCTAGGCACATTGGCAGTCCCTATTTGTCAATGAAGTGTAAACTCCATGTGGTAAAAAGAAACTGGGAGACACTAAAGGTTTATTTAGGGGGTAGTTGACATGAAGAAGAGTAACATTTAAAAGTAATTAACCAGATGAAGGGTTAGGAAGGCTACAAATGAGACCTCTGCACTGCAATTCTCTCCCCCACCCCTGCCCCGTGTTCCCGGTCTTGTCCTGGTAACCATAGATATTAGGTGATCTAACCATGGCACTCAGGACTGAAGAGATCGCCTTCTCTTTAGCTATAAACTACCTTCCCAGGGCTCATACCTAAGATCACACTTTTATTTTCAAGGAACAATAAAAGGCTCTGCAAATTGAGTGGTGGCAGGAAACCAGAACTGGGCACTTTTCATGATTGTTGCTAGCCTAGTAGAAAAGGTTATTCAGAAATATAATCTTGTCACAAACTCCTGGGTACAAAGGAAGCATGGTACACATATCAAACCATGACAATTCTACAAGATTGCCATGGCCTCCCTCAATGTTACCTGCCAGCAACCTCCTCTGAACTAACTCAGAAAGTACCCCAGGGGACCAAGGCATCATAGATGGGGACAACAGCAGTTCTTTCTTGATCTAAGGGAGTAAATTAAATTTATACCTAAAGGAATAGTTGCTAGATTTCAGTGTTTTCCCAGAACACATGATTTCAAATTAGTAAGTTAAAATTGCTCGTGAACAGTAGTTTTAGCAAAATTGAAGCAAAATGAGTAGCAAGAATTCTGAGTGATGACCAAAACATAAACAATGCTGGGACCTGACGAGACCGAAAGACACCTGGTAAGCTGAGCTGGCTTGTTGTGGTGGCCTGGGAATGGAGAAAAGATATCTGTCAAAAGGAATATAAATTCTGCAAACTAAACCTGGTAGTTTGCAGAAGTGTTTAACCCATTTTAACTCTCCCTGTTCACAATATTGCTTTCCTACTTTTCAGTTTGAGTTTACTATGGAAGTGTAACATTTATGCCCCCCAAAAATGTGCTTGGTGTGGTCTCAGTGATTAAAAACACTTGCTTAGTATGCATTAACTTCAGTGCAGTACTTGTACTACTCTGAGGATATTTTTACTTGGCTCTCACTATGCTGATGCTGCTTTATTTTCTTCAGGTGTATATACTGAAAAGGTAATTTTTCTTTTTTTTTTTTTTTTCACCTACTATGAAGCCCAAAGACAAATGGTACTTGACTGCTTGGGCTCATTAGCTTTTAATCTTAGTGACTACAAGATGTTGCTAAAGCATATTTGGAAAAGAAGTTTATCTGTTGAAACTTCTTTTGGATATCAGAAAATTATACTGCAAGTCATGAAAAAATAAAAATATTGAAGTATAAAGCTTAGCCAGGTGTGCTATAAGCATTATTGAGGATAATGGGCAAACCATTTTTCTTAAGTAATGAACACATTTGCTTATAGTTTGGGGGAAAAAAAAACTGTTTCCTTAAAAAAACTTATAGAAAATTAAAAGTGTGAAATCCATTTTAGCATGCTAAAAACATTTGGGTTTTAAGATAATATCACAGATGTAAATATATCCAACTTGAAATTACTTGGAATTATAGATTCTAAATATTTTAAATTGAAGTTAAAATGAAATCAAGTGTAAATTAACCTGTGATTTTTTTTCTTCTTGTTATTTTTGGGTAACTAGGACGTGAGATTGGCAAATAATGTTTGATAGGAGGACCCATTATTGTGATTGAATTCCAAGTAGTATTTTTTATTTGCATCTCATTCTTTCAAAAAATGAATCCCATTGTGTTCTATATAGAGATACTGAAAATCTCAATTCTGTTGGGTTGGCTAAAAAGTCCGTATGGCTTTCCCCATAAATTTTTCATTTTCACCAATAACTTTATTGATTTGAATATTTTGAGTATTTCGGCTATCTCCAACTATTGGCTTCTAGTGGGTATAGGCCGGGGGTGCTGCTAAACATCTTCCAATGCATAAGACAGCCCCACAGCAAAGAATTATTTGGCCAAAATGTCAATAGTACCAAGAAACTTCACAAACCACTTTTGACACATTCAATCAGTTACAGAGCCTTCTCCATACACTGCACAAATCTTTTGCATTTCAGTTGCATTTTTACCTTTCTTGAAATAATAAAGCATAATACACCAAAAATGTCGCATTATCTTCTTCCATCTTCCATGTTAAAATGGCTGCACAAAAATTCACCAATTTTGACGTTTTAAAAAATGCACACTGATACAACAGCTGTTATAATACAACCTAACAAAATTATTTCGAATGAAAGACAACTAAGCACTACTAGAGCCATCTTATGGGAAAAAAGTAATGGACTTTTTGGCTAACCCAATGTTTTTGAATCCTTTTTTAAAACATCTTTTCTACGGACAGACTCTTTAGAAGCCAGCCAACAATCCAGGCCTACCACTTTAGCTAACAGCTTCATATGTTAAAATTCAAAAAGTAGCGGAGGAGGGAAGTGAGGGTAACTAAAAACAAAATGAAAATGGCCACTACATCTTGGGAAGCACTTTATTACCATTAATAGGTGACTTCACTTGATATAGCACACTCTCCAGAAACCATATTTACCACATGTCACCCAAACAATTATATTCAATATTAACTAAAAGGATTGAATTTATGTAGTACTTTTAAATATGCATTTTATAATATAAGGATGCTTTATCAAACAATTCACCTGTATTACTAAAATGTAATATTTTCTGATTCTTGTTAATCTGTTTGAATTAGGGAGAAAAAATTATTGAGATAGTTGGATTGGACCTACCAACTGCTTAAATTGTACCCCAAAGATCCAAGGGGTTCACAGCTTATTCTATGGCCATCTATGCTTCTCATCAGAAAACTAGAAAAGGTTGACATAAATAAGTTATAAGGCTATCTGATTATCTTATAAGTACACTATGTAGAATCACTAAGTCTTAGCCGTGGCAGGATTCCTAGGCAAGAATGGGCAGCTATTTCATATTTTACTTCTGATTGCCTCTTCACTTTTTTTTCCCCCTCTCATGACTTCAACCAGGCTTAAGGTAACAGTTTCCTTTCCCTGGTTTCATTTCTTGAATGGTTTGGGGAGAGATCCCACCAGACAGTGGCCTGTTTTAAATCTTTAGGCTCCATACCCTATTAATTCATGCTACTTGGAAAGACTATGAGACAAACAAGGTCTCACTTTTTAACATTAAGGAACCATTTTGCTATTTCTCTCTAGGATGGGTACAGGGTGTAGGGTCATTCCCTTACATGAGTGTTTTAAACTCTGAGTGCTACATCTGAGATGACATGCTACAAATTAAGAATTTTTAAAAATTCTAAAGGAAATCTTTTTAATCTCAAGAACAGCCTTTTCACACTTCTCTACCACCTTTCCATTGATTGTGTGGAAATAAAGACCAACAAATGGAGGGTGTTGGCGTGGGGAAGCTGGACACGGACTAAATAGGAGGGGGGCATCTTGTGTGACTGATTTGGGGAACATACTTGACCTACTCTGATTGGTCCCCAGTTAGAAGCAGGGGCAAAACTTAAGGAAGCTGGCAATCAAAGGCCATTCCTGCTCACTTTGGGCTGATTCCTGCCAGGCTGTGGTTTGACTTCCCTGGCTGGTTACTGCAGATGTCGTGGGTCAGAGTTCTGTCCTCTCATGGTTTGACCATTGTTGTGTACATTCAGTCTCAGCTGACTGAGACGCAGGTTTTTCTTTTCCCTTGACCTAGATAGGTTTCTAGCTTCAAATTTTAGTTTTACCGGAACAAACACAGCTTTCTGATTATTTCTGTTAAGGATAAAAGCAGACATTAGGATATGAAAAGTCCTGGGAACAAATACATAAATATTTTCCTGGTGAGGGTCAGGCCAGAGAATTACTCTGGGTCTGCCGATTCCTCTTTCCCCTACTGAACTCGTTTTCAGCACAACTGACCCCTTAGCAACTGTCCCTCTTTCTTTGAGGACAGCCCACCGTGCCAGGGGAAGTGGTCGCGCCTCGGCCCCCTCCCCAGCGCAGTATGCGTGTGGCTCTCTGCCACCCCCGCGCCCTCTGCCCCCTGCCCCGGCGCAGTCCACGCGTAGCGCCCCCGCCCCCCACCTCCGCGCTCCCTCTCTCCCGCCAGCCCCCTTCCGGCCGCCTTCCCCAGCGCGCGCCGGCGTCTGGCTGACACTAGTCCCGCGCGTTCCTGGAGGGCCGTGCCGGTCGGCCCTGCAGCAGCCTCCCGGGCCCGCGGGATATGTCAGGTCAGCCCTCCTGTCCCCGAGCCGTTGCGCGGAGAGGCCATCCTCGGAGGGAGTCCTGGGTCAGCATAAGCAGATCCTCTCTGGTCATAACTCCCGATTTCCACTTTTGGGGGCCCAAAAGCAGGACGGAATCTTAATAGCCACCATTCCCCAGTCGTATTTCCTCAGCTGTGGAAAAAGCAACCCTCCTTTCCCTTCTGAACGGAACTGTACTTCCCCTTCACTTTCCCTTCAACTCGAGCACCCGCGAGCCCTCGTCGGTGTGGGAGCACGGTGTCCATTTTCTCCTCAAGGAGCTTCCCCGGCCCCGGTCCCCGGCCGAAAAGCCAGAGAAACGGGGTCGCGGCGGTGGCGACTGAGCTCTCGCCATTTTGCGTGGAGGAGGAGCCGCAGCCGCCGCCATGCGGAGAGGCGGGGAGCGAGGCGGGGTCGGGGAGCGGCGGGCGAGGGAGGGGCAGAGGAGCCGAGTTAGCCCGGGCGGCGACTTCGGTGGCGCGGTGAGAACGGGCGGCGGCGGAGGTAGGGCCGGCCGACCCGGGTAGTTGCGGAAGCCGGCTGGTTGGCCGGACGGCGGGAGAGCAGGACGGGTTGGGCGGTGGCGGAGGCGGCAGCAGCTAGGAGCCCGGTGGGGGCGGGCGGAGATTTCCGAGGAGGAAGGAGCGCCGCCATCTTGGGAGCTTCGAATCAACAATAAAGGACCGAGGGGGCCAGCGGGAGTGGCCTTGGTGGTAGGACTCGGGCCCGACCCGTGGGGAGTTGGGTGAGGTGTGGGGGGGCGGATCGAGATTAGCAGTGCAGTCGGGGCTGCGGGAGGCCCCTCAGCCGGCGTGGAGGGCGCTGTGAGACGGAGGCCTGAGGCCTTGGACGGGCCCCTGGGGAGGAAGGCCAGCAGCAGCTGTGGATTGGAGACCCCTGAGAGGAGTAGAATATGGGGATGTTGTGCGTGGCGGTGGCCTTAGAAGGAGCGGGCCAGGTACTCGGAGGAGCTTTGTAGAAAACAAAGAAATGAGGGACCATGGAAGCAGCAAGGACTTGGGGCAATGGTGGAGGTTACAGGGTACGAGGCAGCCCTATAGGGGGCGGCAGGGATGTGCAGCAGTGAAGGGCTCGCTTTAGAAGGGGACCAGCAGCAGCTTGATTGAAATAAGGCCTTGTAGGTCAATAACGAGAGGATGGTACTGGGGCCCCCGAACTGTGGAGGAAATGAGGGCTTTCCTGGTTAAGGGTGTCTGTTTGGGGCCTTACGAGGAGAGTCCATATTGTCTCCACCCGCAAGCCGGTTCGTTCCCTGCTCATGTTGCGCAGATAGGATTGCAGTAGGCCCCAATTCTTTTGTGTTTATGGTCGTAGGGAGCCGACTTGAAGTGTGGGTGTTTTAGGTGGAGGGTGGGTAACGGGGAGAACGAGAAATTATTTTCTTACAATTACGGGGTTCAAATAATTGGCTTTTTTCTTTCTCACAGTCCCCTTTCCCCTTCATAGTAAAACTTGTCATTCCAACTTGCAGACCCACCTTAGAGAAACTGCGCTGGAGATGATAACTGGTTTGGGGTGTAAAAGTGTCAGTTGCTAACTACAATCTGAGAAGTCCTGTAATTAATTCAGCGTTGGTTTTCTCCCAGTTAGTCTTAAGTTTCGTTCACACTTTTGGAAATGTAGAAATATAAGTTGCGAATCTAAATTGGGAAGGGATAGGAGGAATATTTACTTTTCTGAGACAATGCTGCAGTGCAGCTTTCGGTTTTAATTAAGAGAAGAGCAGTTATCACATTTTGGATCTTGAGAGATTTGAGGTCTTAACATGCATGATGGACAGTAATGATACCATTTAACCTTTGGAGGTTGCTCTCTTCATCCTCTTAGTACTTTGCAAACAAGTTTTCTAGTGTAAACTATTGATATTGTTGATAATATAAACCTGTCAGTACTGGATACCATTTACTTTCTTGAGCTGAAATTAGGTAGCTGATAGATAGGTAACCACTATCTGCTTAAGAGGTTAATCAGACTCTGGGAGACTTCGAAATAATGCCTCTGTGTGTGTGATAATCAGGATTTGCTTGTGAGCGACCTTATTTTCATTTTTTTTTAAACATCAGTATTTTAGAAAAATTTTACTGTTTGAGAACCCTTGGTGTGTGGCAAAAAAAATAACACCACTAATGAACTAATGTATCTTTGGTAAGAAAAGTAGAGTTTAAAAGGAACAAACAACAGAGTAGGCCTTTGTAAATTAAAACTAATTTCTTTGGGGGGATAATTAAAAATTGAAGAGGTTAATCTGTTCTTTTAAACAACTATTATTTAGTACTCTGGGTTTTTTGGAAAGTCTAATGTGTTCAGCCTTTCACAAGCTTTTTGTTTTTTTTTAAACAAGACACAGCTTCTTTTTAAAATACTACTATTTTGTCAGGTTATCCTTTCTGAAAAGTGTTATGTTGAAATGTAGCTAATAGTTTTTTAGTATTCAAAATACATTAAGGTAACTAAAGAGTTTCTTGGCTCTTTTTCAAGCAAAAAATTTTGGCATGTACACATACATGTCTGTCTCCCTGCTTCAGTTACTGTTTTAAAGGGAAAAAACTTGAGGAAAAAAAGATGTGTTTTTCTTCATAAAATTTAACTTTTGTAATTGAAACTTACAAGGGTGCAAGTGGGTTTTTTATTTCTGAAAGCATAAATTGTCTTTGTCTTGTGCTTGTGGATTTACTGATGTTGTGAGGTAATTACTGAGTTGGAATGCAGTGAAGGGAAGAGACTGTCCTTTGACAACTAATGCTGATTTAATCCCCATATTTTTCTACCTTATCTCTGGGTTGCTTTGAATTGACGATTTAAAATGAGATTGGTCTCGTTGTGGGTTTGGCTTTTGGGGCAGTTGTCTCTCTTAGCCTGGTTAACAATTTGGTCTGAGTGCAGTTGTAGTCTTAATTCTTAAATTTGAAAGAGGAGAATTAAGGAAAACAAAGTTTTTTTCCTAACCTTCCTGTGTTTGCTAACTTAACTTTCTCTTTGTTTCAGATTGAAGTACGTGAATTCAGATACATAACTCAACCTTGTTAGAGAGATTTTTAAAAATAAAAAGTTGATTCGGTGCATGAGAGCAAGTTACTGCTGCTTACTGTTCAGAGACTTACAGGTGCTTGCCTGCATTGCAATAAAAGACTCATTATTGAGCAAGACTTATATATATCTCTTCGTTTTGGAGAGCCTAATAAACTGTATTTCAGTTTCTCTACTGACTTTCAAAAGTTTTGAAGTTTGAAAGAGACATCTTTACATTTAATACAGCATGAGCACGGCCAGAACAGAAAACCCTGTTATAATGGGTCTGTCCAGTCAAAATGGTCAGCTGAGGGGCCCTGTGAAGCCCAGTGGTGGCCCTGGAGGAGGGGGCACACAGACACAGCAACAAATAAACCAGCTGAAAAACACCAACACAATCAATAATGGCACTCAGCAGCAAGCACAGAGTATGACCACCACTATTAAGTAAGTGTTAGAATAATAAATGTTCTTGGGGGAGGGGCCAAGGAGATTTCTTTCATTACTCTGTTGTTGACTACTCTTTATATACTTCAACAATTTTGATTGCAAATAGAGAACAGATAGATGACTTTGTTTTATGGCTAGTAGGTATTTTTAATAGAATAATATATTTGTCATTCAGGTTTATTAAGTAATAAATAATAGATGTTTATATTTATGTCTATAAATATAGAGGTAAATATATTTATGTGTATATTTTATTAAGCAATGAATATAGAGACATGATACATACCAATTTTGTATATATATTTATTTTTTTTTGAAACATTGCTAGCTTTCATAAGTAGCTCAGATTCATCTTATTCTTGCCTGTATCGCTTTTCCCTAGTCTTGTCTTTATACAACTTTGTTCTTCTACTTTTTTTAAAAAGTAAGCTTTCTCCTCTTAAACACACGCAAAATAACAAGCGGTTAAATATCACAGACACTCAGGATTTTGAACTCTTGGAAACACACATCTCTGAATAGTCCTAATCCCCTGTTGTCAATCTTATACCACAGTGTGTTTTCTTTTAAATTGGGAAGATTGTAGGCTGTCATCTTTTAAGTGTTCACTATAAATTATGCGAATGGTAACCATCACTCTAAAGATTTAGTTAATAAAAAATTAACATTTTAAAACACAGTGCATTTGAGGTTTGGCTTTGTTAAGAATCCAGCCACATAGCCCTTGATCTGTGTGGCTAAATTGGTTTGGGAAACAAAAGGTCCCCAGTTCAGTTCAGTTCAGATCAGATCATGGAGCATGCCTCTGGATTGCTGGCCAGGTCCCCGCTTTGGGGTGTGAGAGGCAACTGGTTGTTGTTTCTCTTACACATCAATGTTTCCCTTCCTCTCTTCATTCCCTTCTCTTTAAAAATAATAGAATCTTTAAAAAAAAAAATCTAGCCATATAATTAATTTAACCTTTAGAAATCTAAGATGATTAAACTGGTTGGCTGAACTAAAGTATTTTTTATTACAACCTAGATATTTTCCATGCTTAAGAAGCACTTCCTCAAGAAAAACAGCCTGGTAGCTTTATAAGCTACTAGGATACCACACAGATGGCTGCTCCTAGGTGTTTCAATAGTGACTTACAAGAATTTCCAGTAGAATGGGATTGGCCACTAGGAGAATGGTCATTAATGCATATTCTATTTTTAAGGAGAATGCTTTAATTAGAATATTTTTGAAATTGTAGTTTGTCTTGACAAACTGAATAGCTAGCAAAATTTAGGCTATTTTTAATCCTTAATAATAGAAATGTAAAGCTGTGTCATTTTATTATAGGAGTATTTTCTACTTAAACTTTACTTTGAGGTGGCAGTGGATTTTTCTTACCCGGGTACTCTTGCTTTTCTTAGGATTGATGGTTTCTTTTCAAGTCTGTGGCTTCTTTAAATATTAGTTCAAGTGTCATGTCCTCCATGAAGGCTTCTAGAACCCGTCAGCTGTTCAGAACTCTTAACAGTTTATCACTTATTTTCTCACTTTAAATACTTTGGTTTATAAATTCCTTGTGGACAGATTTTGCTTTGTATTGTATTTTATCACATTGAATTTGACAATGCGGTAGGCTGGCCTACTAGGATGTTCAGCTGACATTTTTTGCTCAGAAAATTTGATGTGGTATAGGCTAAGGTAGAAGGCTTTAGTACCCTTGTAATTAGTATCAAAGAGCTGTGTTAGAGTTCCTTGGATTATGTGGGACCTAGCTTTAAGTAAGATAATTGTTCCTCTTTCTAAATCAAGACTTGAAACATTTTGGGGGATCATCAGAGTGGCTGTAGTGAAATCAATGAAAATTTATTTATTTTGAAGGCAACACAGTGGAAAAGCATTGTTTGCTTTCTTGCCAATTTTTTTCTATTAGATGCTTTGGCATTATATTAGAGATTTTTGCCTGACCGAAAAGATTTTAAAAATTAAAATTTCCTTCTTTTTATTCTCTTTCATAGTTTCAGTCATCCCTGGTTAAAAAAAAAAAAAAAAGATTAGAGAGATGTTCATTAACAGCTAATATTGAGTTCTTATTTTGCCAGATACTGTGCTGAATGCTTAATGTAAATTATTTTATATAATTCTTAATCCATTTTAGGTATGAGAGAATGGAAAAGTGGCTGCTGCAAGGTCACAGAACTAGTAAGAGGTAGAGTCAGGCCTTGAATTCGGGTCTGAAACTGTAGAGCTGTTGGTTTCAACTAGTCACCAGAAGTTACAAATGAGAGGATACTTGCCCTTTTAAGGGGGTCAGTTGCTTAATTTTAAAGTCCATTTACTGAGCTCTGTCCAGTTGTTGTCATACAGAAACCTGGCCTGTGTTACGAAAGCTTCTGATTTTTTAGGAGAAGCCAGAATCTGGACTTTTACACAAAATCTAATTTCTTAACACTGGTAACTAATTTAAATTAAAATGTGCACATGGTATTTGACATGGTAGGTCAAATAAAACACGTGGTTCCCAATTGTGACAACAGTTGCTCTATTGTCACATTATACGGCATCTCCTAAGATAATGGTTGCCTTATTTCCTTCTATTCTTGATTTTTTTTAAATCTTTGCTTGATCTTTGTAAGAGCAGTTAATTTCTAAAGTTTTTTAAAAAGTCTCTGTTAACTATATTCTTAAGTAAATGGTATTATATTATACTTACTGTGCTTTTTATAACTCAATTGTAGTTGAGATTAATTATCTTTGCATTAGAACAGTTGTGCTATGAATTCTGATACTTCATTTTTACTGTATTCTCTCTAGACCTGGCGATGACTGGAAAAAGACTTTAAAACTCCCTCCAAAGGATCTAAGAATCAAAACTTCTGTAAGTTGTTTGTAAAATTTAACTTAAAATGTGGAAACTCTCAAAATGAAGTACTTACTTAATAGTAACAATGGGCGCTATGTGTTTACTCTTAAATAAGTTGAAATGGTTGAAATTGTATTGGGTTGGCCAAAAAGTTCATGGGTCCCCCCCCCACCCCCCCATAAAATAAAAGACATTTTTCACTTTCAGTAATAACTATTGATTTGGACATTTTGAGTATGTCTGCTCTCTTCCACATGGTATAATGTTGCTTGTTCTCGATGTCTCAGTTTGATCGCTATCAACTTCAACTGGTCTATCTTAACCATGGAGCATCATCCAGTGAGAAATCTCCACACAAAACTTCGCTAACCACTTTCAACACACTTGATCAGTCACAGTATCTTCTCCATACACTGCACAAATATTTTTCTTTGCATTTCAGTTGCATTTTTACCTATCTTGAAATACTGAAGCATAATACACTGAAAATGTTCTGTATTTTCCTCCATCTTCAATATTAAAATGGCTACACAAAAATTCGCCAGTTTTGAGAACTTTTTTTTTTTTAATGCATGTTGATATGACAGCTGTTACAATACAACCTAACAATATTGTTTCAAATGAAGTTAATGACAACTAAGCCATCTACTAGACTACTACTACAATGATTACTAGAGCCATATTACAGAAAAAAACCAAACGAACTTTTCGGCCAACCCAGTAGATCATATGATGAATTGCCAAACATATTTGCTATTTGGAGGAATTATATTCATATGTATATTTACATATCAGTATTTCATTTATATGTGTGTATATATTTAACTTACGGAATAATGGTTTTCCAGACATAGTCTCTTTTGCTCAGTAAGAGTGAGGCTAGGGCCCTGGCTGGTGTGGCTTGATGGATTGAGCACTGGCCTGCAAACCAAAGGATCGCTGGTTTGATTCCCAGTTAGGGCACACAGGGCACGCTATAGGCAACTACACATTGACGTTTCTCTCCTTCTCTTCGCTAAAAATGAATAAATCTTTATTTAAAAAAAGAGAGACTAGATATTATCTCTGTATTTTAGATGAGAAATTGGAAGTTGACAAGTTCTCATGGCTCAGTATTTTCAACCAGGAGTGATTTTTGTTCACAAGTGGTATTCGGCAGTAGCTATAAAAACGTTTTTGGTTATCACAGCTTGGGGAATGCTGCAGGACAGTCCGTTACAACAGTGAATTTTCTGGCCCAAATGTCAATATGCTGAGCTTGAGAAACCCTGACTTTGATAAGGATATTAGTAGACAATGAGTGGCAGAGCTAAGGTTTGACTTCGTATCTTGTGATTGACATTTGACAGCATGATTCTTAACAGTATTCCACCTGTCATTAGAATAATACAACCACAAGCTGGCTTTTCCCAAAGTTTTTAAATGGCTTCTGTATATTAGTGATTTTTTTTTTAACTATTATCATGTTTATTCTATTACAGTTGTCTCAATTTTTCCCCCTTTGCCCCCCTTCACCCATCCCAGCCCCCTCTCCCACAGTCAGTTCCCACTCTGTTGTCAGTGTCCATGGGTCATTCATACATGACCCATTCATTCATCCCATCCCCTTCTCTCCACCATTGTCCTTCTTCCCCATCCCCTCTGGTCACTTTCAGTCAGCTCCATGTTTCCATGCCTGTAGTTTATTTTTTTCAGTAGTTTATTTTGATGAATAGATTCCATTTATAGGTGAGATCATGTGGTATTTGTCTTTCACCAACTGGCTTATTTCACTTTGCATAATATTCTCCAGTTCCATTCATGTTGTCGCAAAAGGTGGTAGTTCCTTCCATCTATCTATCTTTCTTTCTTTCTTAAATGCAGATTGATTTTCTTTGTTTTTGTTAAATGTCAGTCAGTTATAAAATATTAAAAAATTTAAAACCATTATAAAGTCTCCGCAATTAAAACAACATGACACCAGCACAGAAATAATCGAGATCAGTGAAATAAAATGAGCATTCTAGAAACAAACATATATATCTTTCTAACAGTGTAATGTATGATTAAATTGATACTTCAAATCAATGGGTAAAATAAGGCTTATTCAACAAATAAGATGCATGGACCACTATTACTTGAAATAAAACAAATATAGAGCCCTATTTCTCACATTATACAAGAAATATTCAGGTGAGTTAAAAATTAATATGTAGAATCTAAGGAGTTTTTGGAGAAAATACAAACTAATATTTTTGTTACCCTGAACTAACATAGTCAAACCCAGAAGCTGTGAAGTAAATATTGACAATATGACTATATTAAACATTTAAGGCTGTATAGTAATATACATATTAAAAAAAATTAAAGGACAAGTAATAGAATAGGAAAGAATAGAACACATCTAAAAAAGGGTTAATAGTTGTTTTGCGGGGGTGGGGGGGTAGGAATTCTACCAACCTTTAATTGATAAATGGATAAAGAATACCAAAAAGTCACTTAAGCTTTTTAAAAATAATAGAAATAGACAAGAAATACACAAAAACAGGTTTAGTTTCAACAAAAAATAAAGGAACATATAAAATAACACATCATCACAATCCAATTAATACGTATTAAAAATATTGGTAATATCAAGTATTGGCAACTGAAAGGAACTGGGTATTCATAGACTTTTTTTCTTCATCGTAAAGCAGTCCTTTTAGCATATTGTGCAGTGCTGGTTTAGTAGAGGTGTATTTTAGCCTTCTCGTCTGGTAAATTCCTTATTTCGCCTTCCATTTAATTGAGAGCCTTGCTGGGTAAAGCAGTCTTGGTTGCAGGCCTTTGCTTTTCATTACTTGGAATATTTCTTGCCACTCCCTTCTGACTTGTAATGTTTCTGTTGAGAAGTCAGCTGCTAGCTGTATTGGGGTTCCCTTATATGTTACTACCTCTTTCTCCCTTGCTGCCCTTAGGATTATCTGTTTGTCTGTGGTATTTGCCATTTTAATGGTGTGTCTTGGAGTGGGCCTTATTCGGTTCCTCTTGAATGGGACCTTCTGTGCTTCCTGGACTTGTGTGACTTTTTCTCTCCTCCAGTGAAGGAAGTTTTCCATCATTACTTTTTCAAACAGGTTCTCTATCCCTTGCTCCTCCTCTTCTCCTTCTGGTATCCCTGTAATACGGATACTATTTCGTTTCAGGTTGTCCTGAATTTCCCTAAATGCCTCTTCATTCTTTCTGAGTCTTTTTTCGATTTCTTGCTCATTCTGGGAGCTTTTCTCTACCTTATCCTCCGGCTTGCTGATTCGGTCCTCTGCTTCATCTAGCCTGCTTTGGAGTCCTTCTGCTGTGTTCTTCAACTCAGAAATTGTCTTCTTCATTTTCTCTTATGTCTTATTGATAGTTCCTCTTCATGCTGATATAGTTTGCAGTAAGTTCCTCATAGTTTCCCTGTGGTTTTTAGTAATTCTCTCTGAGCTCACTGAACTCAATTGAGCTTCCTTAGAACCATTGTTTGGAACTCAATATCTGATAGTTTACTTGCCTCTATTTCATTTAGTTCTCTTTGTGGGGATTCCTCCTTTCTCTTCAAGTGGGGGGTATTTCTTTGTCTTCCCATTATTTGAGACTCTTTTTTGCTTCTGCTTCTTGAGTTGATCTGACTTGATTTCCTGACTTAGTGGTGTGAACCTCTGTGGTAGGAGACCACTGTTTTTACTTTCTGGATCTGCCTCTGATGATGTCAGATGTTGATTCTGTCTGACCTTAGGCAGTCTGTTCGAGACTTCTAGGAATCTGCTGTCTGTTGCTGTCTCCTTCAGCTGCTAATCTAGTCACTCTGCACCCAGCAGGCCCGCTTAGACACCACAGGGCTGGGCGGAATCTCTCCTGATGGCAGGACTATTGGGCGTCTGACACTGCTGCCATTCTGGGGGAATGGTCTCTTCCTGAGCAAGATGGCGGCTGCTGCATAGGGGATAAGTCAGCACCGAGATTCTGCTGGTTACTCTGTCAGTTCTCTCCCCAAAGCCTCCTTCCCCACCCTCCCTTCAGGCATCTCTAGCCCACTCTACCCCGGCTTTTGCCGGAGACCAGGGTAAGTGACTGCAAATAAAAATTTTTGTATTGGCCCTTTAAAAGGCTCTTTGAGTCTCTGGCAGAGAGCAAGCCTGCCACTTTTCGCAGCTGGCTGTTTTCTGTGTACTTTTTGGGCTCTGGTGCTGTAGGCTGGAGAGACCCACTTTTGAATTAGATCCCACTCTTCTCAAGGGGATCCAAATGGTCCTTTCAATAGCCTTCTGGTGCTGTTGCTTTCTTGAGTCTCTACCGCACCCCTTACCACTCAGGTTGTGCTAAAGCTGATTCTGCTGTCTGTCCAAGGTTTAAGGCTTCCCTCTCGCTATTTTCAGTTGTTTGTTCCAGGTGATTTCTCCACAATTTAGTTGTAATTCCACATTGGTCCTTGGAGGAGGTCAATGTGACTTCCACTAACTCCTCCACCATCTTGATTCTCTATTAGTGATTATTCTTAAGGAATAGTTGAAATACAGATCAAGACAGAATAATATGCATATATTTATATTTCGAATGGGGTAAAGAATTAGTCTCAAACAGACTTTCTTAAACATGCTAACTACTAAAGGAACACAGTTGTGCTTTATTCTTTTATTGCTGTTGTTTGTTTGTTTGATTGATTAGGATGTAACCTCCACAAAAGGAAATGAGTTTGAAGATTACTGTTTGAAACGGGAGTTACTGATGGGAATTTTTGAAATGGGCTGGGAAAAGCCATCTCCTATTCAGGTATGTTTCCCCTTTTTATCATATGTATAATGTAACAAGTAAAGCATTATGAGGTACTTTTTGTTTTCATCTGTGAGGATGATAAAATGAACCAATATTTCTCTCGTGTGTACATACTGACATGTTTTCATGCACACACACGCATATCCTCTTTTTCTGAGCCTTTTAAGAGTAGGTTATAAAATTATAATTATGGCTCATTATTTCTAAATATTTCTATGTATTTCCTGAGAATAAAAATATTCTCTTGTATAACCCATAGTATAGTTATCTGCAGTCAAATTAATATTATATAAAACTTCTATCTCATCTAATTTGTATTCTAATACAATTTGTACTCTAATGTTTAATTGAACCCAAAATGCCCTTTTTAGCATTTTTTTTCTTCTGTACAGGATCCATCCTAGGATCTGGTATTGCATATAGTTATGGTGTCTTTAATAATAAGCATTTCCCTGGTCTGTTTTGGTCTTTTATGACATTGACAGTAAAAATGTAGTCCCCTTCCCTTTTTTAATAGAACTCCTCAGGTTGGGTTTGTCTCATGTATCTATGTAACTAAAGTCATTCATAGCCAAAATACTGTAGAGGTCATGTTATGGCCTTCTCAGGGTATCACATTTGGAGGTCTGTACAGTGTGTGTTTATTTCTTAGGTGATTTTAATTTCTGTTACCCTATCAAGGTGTGTCTGATTTTTCTACTGTATAATTTCAGCTTTTTTTCTTCTCCCTTGAAACTAATAAACGGTCTGTAGGGATCATTTTAAGATCATACAGAGATCCAGCTCTTCACCAAAGTCTCTTCTAGTCTTAGTATCCATTGATGATCCTATCTTTTGTTGGATTATGATGAGTTTCCAAATCTAATACTCCTTCCACATTTGGCCTTTTGAGGAAGAGCCTGCCTTTATACTCTTTCGTATGTATCTATATATTATCAGTATCGGGTCATGAATTTTTTTTTTTTCCAATGATATTTTTGTGCTCAAATTCCCAAATCTGGCCAGTTTAGCTCCTTCAAAGTTGTTTTGTAATGTGTCCATCTTTTTTTCTAATAGACTGTGTTTTAGAGTAGTTTTAAATTGCCAGCAATTAAGCAGAAGATAGAGACAGAGATACCCCATCCCCACTTATGCATAGCTCCCACCCCCTGCAAGAGTAATACATTGTGATATATTTGTTACAACTGATGACTTAGATGTTGACATGTATCACCCAAAGTGCATAGTTTACATTAGGGTTCACTCTTGGTGTTATATATCTGTGAGTTTGGACAAATGTACAATGACATGTATCTACCATTATGGTATCATACAGAGTAGCCTCACTCCCCTAAAAAATCCTCTCTGCTCCACCTCTTCACCCATCCCTTCCTCCTCCATTTTCCTTGAGTACTTTTTGGCATATCATGGTACCAAACTTATCTGTACCTACCCTTCCCCCAGCCTTGGAATCAGCTGTTATTCCAAGGAACCCTGGTTCCAATTAGTGGGGAGTGGTATTAGAGGACAAAATGTAAATACTAGGTCCATTTGCTCTTGACCCTTCCAACGGAAAGAGCAAGGGAATATACAGTATGTATATATAACATGCAGGCATAAACATGCATTATATATATATAGCTTTGTTAAATGTGTCTGTTGTCCTCATATAAGTTAAAACGGGTGCGTCTGGGCTGTACTAAGGACTAACGCCTATGACATCATTGAGTACGTTCTCATTGAGTGACGTAGGCAGTGTTAGACAGGATGTTGTGATGAACAAGGCAGAAGGGGTTCCTGCCTTCAGTGAAGTCTGGTAGGAAGGACAACTAATTGCATGGATAATTTCAGTGTAATAGTACTTTGTAGTTGAAATTGCACTTATGTGTAGCCATTAGAGGAACGCGGAACAACCTGCAACCTGGAAGAAGAATTGATCCATGTTCTAAGCACAGAATACTAGGATAGTGATTGCCCAGGGGTGAAAATGTACCTTTGTGGACAAACTGAAAAAAGTTTAATATGGCTGGAGAAAGTATCAAGATAAGGTTATATGAGGGAGGAACCCCCCTCCCCCCAAAGAAACCAGAATTATCTTCTGGAGAGCAGACCCCTTGTGGTACATACAGGCTTCCCCGCAGATGAATGTTCTGGGAACCCATCTGTATCAGGCACCAGCTGGTGGTGGTGTGAGAGGCTGCATTCATCTTCATTGAAATTTTTTTTTTGAAGACTCTTTGAGCATGTTTGCCAATTTCATAATGGGTAATTTACGAGTGCTCCTGCCCACACCATGCTGAATGTTGAGCAGTTTTTGACCTAAAGCAGTATGACCCCAGTGTGTCACCCTCCCTATTCACCCAATCTCACCCAGAGCAACTTTTTCCCCCTAGATGAAAAAAGTCCTCAAAGGGAAACATTTTGTCAACATGGAAGAGGTAAAACAAAAAATGGCAGGAGCACTAAAAGGCATCAAAATTGACGCGTTCAAAACTGTTCAAAGCAATGGAAAAAAGTCCTAATAGGTATATTGCATCAGATGGACAGTACTTTGAGAATGACTGAATTTGAAATGTAAGAATAAATACACAATTTTTAATAAGCAAATTATGCAGGGTTCTGTGTTTCCCCTTATCAGATAGGTAAGGTAAATGTAGATAATAAAAATATTTAGGAACTACTTTTCTATAATGTAGTTCTGTAGGAATGAAAAGTCTTCTGAGAGCTCTTCTGTGGTTTGTATCATTCAAGTTTGTATCTCAGATACTTAGCAAGGTTTATGGCAGGAAATAGGCTGTTCAATTGTACTTTTAATTGTTTGATGAAATTATGATTAACATGTCAGCAGGCAAACTTGGTCTAGAGAATTGTTAAAGAGCACTTGATTTGCAGTCAGACTGCCCAGACTGAATCCCATCTCCAGTCCTTTCTAAGTTGATTATTTGAGATATCTTTCTAAACCTTGGTTTGCTGACCTATAAAACTGATATTATAGCATATACTGCAGGCCTATTGTGAAGATAAAGTGAGGTGATTAATGTTAGTATGCTTAATACAGTGCCTAGTATGTGATAAATGTTTAAGGAATATTATGGGTCATTATTCTATGTAACAGTTTTATTTAACAGACTCTAGCTGGCTTCTAGTTCCTACTTTTGTATTAAACTTTAAAATTGACTCATTTGTGCTCAGTGTTGGTTTGTCATATAAGCAATTAATTCTTCAGCTACTTAACCAAAGTATTAGATCCCTGAGACTATCGTTCACATTGCCTTTTTCTTCACTGTTTTGCCTGAGAATTTGTGGAAAACACAATAAGGTGTTTATTAGAGTTATTCAGTGTAGCAAACCATAAATATTAGGATTTTAGAACCAAAAAGATATTTCAGAATCCTCTAGTAAAATCCAACCTTGTAACTGGCTGCTTTCTACTCTTCATTCTGTTTGTACTACCATCTCTCTTCACATGCTCTCCTGTTTTGTTTTTTTTCTTCCTCAAAAATATGTCTGTTTACCAGGCATTTTTCCCCCTAAATATAAAAAGCCTTAATCAAATGGATATCATCTTCATTTGAATCTTTTTTAAGTTGCAGTTTGGCTATAAGATTATTGGAGTGTGAGGCACTTAAAATGATACCCTCGCAAAGGAAGATTTTACACTACTAGGCTTGAACCAGGTATAGTACAGATTGCTCCTACACACATCTTTATTTGGTCTGCCATCTGTGACTCTAGTTGTATGTGCCCAGCAGCATAACTATGCCATTCTAAAGACATCTTTATATAGAAACACAAACTTTGGAGGGCATGAGAACTTGCTGTTTTATTTGACTTAACGTTGTGAAACCTTACAGTAGCTTTGAGATGATTGAGAAATGGCAATTTTTGCTGCTTCCAGACTCTAGACACAGCATTTGAAGAAATTTTAGATAAGGTGATAAAGTGGCAGGCAGCCCGTTATAGAAGGAAACATGGAAGTTCCTTACTGTTGTCAACTCAATTCCGTATCAGGCCAAGAATCTGAAATTATTTTGCCAGCCAAGTCTAATAAGGATTAATAGTTTATTATTTATAGTTAGGAATTATAGCATTCTTAACCCTTTTGTAAATCATTCTTCCTGCTATCATGGACTTATGGCTAAAAGAATTTTTTCTGAATTCTTTTAAAAAACCTTTTAATGCCTTCGCATTGCCTTTTTCTTCATTATATTGCTTGAGGATTTGTGGAAAACACAGTAGTAGTGTTTATTAGAGTTATTCAGTGTGGCAAATCATAAATATTAGAATTTTAGAACCATATTCTCTAAAATTTTGGTTGATTAGTGTGGTATTGGATGTATTCTTTTAAGTTAGGTATATTTGAAATTACTATCTTCCATTTCTTCTCTCAAGGTAGCAGTATGTATTTGTGACAACCATTGCTATCTCCTTCACAGTACTCATTTTCTCCCCCACCCCCCACCCCTGCTGGAATTCAGGTTTGCAAGCTTACCTGGCCCTGGAAAGTAAAGAGCAGCAGCTGCTCTAAAAGCTGCTAGTTGGGCAATTTTGAGCTCTTTCAGGTACCATACTTGTTGTGTAAAATGTCCCTCAGTACTAGGAATTTGGAAGCTATGCCATTCTTACAGGCAACAGACACCAACTTGGGCTAACTTAAGCAAAAGGAAACCTATTGTAAGCATATCAGGAGTTCACAGGATTAAGAAGTCTGGAGGAGCACACTCAGAATTAATTGACCAAGAACTGAGAAAGCTCTGAGGGACATAGGAAGCTGTGAGTTGTTATAGGATGTGGTATAATAATTGAAATTCTGAGAAGGGAGCATTCAGCTGGTCTGACTTAGTCATTGTCTGTCATTTGGCTGAGGACGTTGGCTAGACCATCCATATGTTGGGGTGGGGAAGATGTAATTCCTCAGAAGGAAGTTAGGGTGATACTAAGAAAGGGAAATGGATACTAAGGTAACCCAAACATGGAACATGGACTTTGAAGAGCCATGGTGGGGTTGTTGGGTTAAATTAAGATATAAATCATGTCATTCAATTCACACACTTAAAGTATGCAATTCAGTGGTTTTTAGTATATTTACAGTTGTGCTACAATCAATTTTAGGACATTTTCATCACCATAAAAAGAACTTTAGTAGTCACTCATCATTTTACCTAACATAGCCCTAAGCAACCTCTAATCTACCTTCTATCTTTGAATTTGCCTGTTCTGGACATTTTATATAAATGGAATTATGTAATACATGGTTTCTTGTGACTAGCTTATTTGATTTAGAATATTTTTTAGGGGTCATCCATGTTGTAACATGTATCAGTAATTCATTCCTTTTTATAGTTGAATATTATTGTATGGCTATACCACATTTGGTTTATCCATTCATCTTTTGGTAGGGTTGTTTCCACTTTTAGCTCTTAGGAATAGTGTTACCAAGAACATTCATGAACAGGTTTGGCATAGAGATGTTTTTATTTTGGGGGGATATATATATCTGGGAGTGGAATTGCTGGTTCTTATGGTAATGCTGTTTAACCTTTTGAGGAGCTGCCAGGCAGTTTTCCAAAGTGGCTATACATTTCCCCTAGCAGTGTATGAGAGTTCCGATTTCTCCACATACTCACTTGCATGTTGTTACTTGCAGACCCAAGTTTAAATTCTTGTTCCAGCATTTCTTGCTTTGTGACCTTGGGCAAAACAATTATTCTCTGAGGATCCATTTTGTCCATTGTAAAACAAAAAGTGTATAATTTGAATGGATATAAATAACATAAGGTATCTACCTAGCAGACTGCCTAGCACACAGTGAGTGTTTAAAAGTTTTTTAGATCCTTTTTCTCTTCTTCTTGGCAGCTTCCCATGATTTCCTCTTGGGTTTCAAAGCTGTCTGAGCCAGATTTGAATTTAATTTTCTCGCCATTACATAATCTTCCTAGGAGACAGTGTGGATGTGCCGAATTTCCAGACTAATCATGATGGCCATAATACAGAGCAAAATACGAGTGCATTTTAACTTAGAGACTAGGATACTTACTTTGTTAAAGCCTTATCTTTAAACAGTTCCTGTAGTGTAAAAGCCCTGTCAAAGAGAGCAGAGGAATAGAAGTCGATAGCCTCAATCTTAATCAGAAGACATACCAAAAATGTGAATGAGAATACCCTCAAACTAATTCTGCCTGCCTCACCTAATTGAAAAGTTTTATAGTTTCAAAGGACCTGATTCAGGAAAATCATTGGAAGAATTATGGATACCATCTGCCTCCCCCCACACCCCCCATAGAACCACAGGTAGCCTGTTTAAAAATCATAGAAGCGAATGAACCAGTGTGGGTAGGAGGTAATGGATCTCCAGAACAATTGAAGGTTAACAGAGTTAACTCAAAGTTGGAGGGAAGAAATTGAGACCAAATGGTCAAAAGCCAAGATTTTCTTTGACCTGCTTTAATGTAACAAGTAGGCTGTTTAATGCTGGTTATAGGAACAAGATAACAGTATTGTCATTGGACCATATTCACAGTTCTGGCAGCTATGTTAGTTATTATGATCATATGGAATCCATCTGATCCTTGTGATTGGGATTCTAGGTACAATAGAAAGTGTCATGGTGGGAAGTAGAAATCATACTTACGACTTAGATGTTTTTACAATAAAAGTTTTAGTGTTAGATTATTTCTGGTCATTAGCTTGGGCATAGAAAGAACTAGTTATTACAGTGATTATAAATCTCCCAATTTATTTTTCTAATTTTTTAGTTTTAGAAATTAAACATTTTTTTAAAGAAACAGGAATGTTCCACTTCCTTCCTGTTTATACCTTTTCTGCCTTTTTAGTTTCTATATATGTGTATTTAATTCTCATTAATTGTTCAGAAACCTTTGCTGTTGTCTGGAAAATTTGTCTTCTGCAAAACATACATGACAGTAATTTAAATATGAACATGAGAGTCGTCACCCTTAGTGATGTGACCATGGATTGAGATAACTAAAATAGAATTGTGAGGGGGGCACCTCATCCTGCGGAGTCCCCCCAGCCACCACGGATGCGGAAGTAAGGAAATAAATCATTCCAGACACTTGGTTTGCCAGGAAAAGGGGCGGTGAGTCCCTCTATTGGAGAATGCCCTGAGCCCTTCTCTTTGAAGTGGCCTTTATTGAGAATGAAATGCTCTCAGGGGTATACGGTATGCATGCAAAGCCTATCAGTGTACTTCAAAAGGCTATAGATAATAAATTGAAGAAATACAGAGGTTTGTCTTAAATCAAAGTCTGTCAGAGTAGTTGGTGCCAGGTGCTCATTAAGGCACAGTTTTCAGGGCTCAGGAATTATCTCCTTGCAGTAAAGTAAAACACCTAGTTTTTCCTTATCAGGGCGGTGGGAAGCAGGGCAAGCGTTAGTGGAATACAGTGCCGCCTTTTCGTGGAGTTACAGTTTCCCTTACACAAAGTGGTACTCAACAGAATTGAATCTCTAAGCACATTTCAGGACAGAAAAGTTGGCTCCGAGGCAGACATTATAATAAATAAACATCAAATAGGACCTGAGGTTAAACTCTGTCAGCCTGTTCCTGCTTTGTGCAAGGATAAGTTGTCCAAGCTACAGTTTTTCATTATAAAATTGGCCTGTTAATCTTAAAATATCATATATAGCCTTTGCTTTGTTTTTGTGCCATTTTTCCTCCACCTTTTAATTGTGAAATGACTTCTGCTTTTTTTCTCTCTGTTTATATATCAGCCCATGTTCCTCCTTTTTTTGTTCTCCTTGTTGTTGATGCTCAGCTTCCTTGACTATACAGACTTTCACACGTACACACTCACATATACAGTTTTTATTACATTGGGATACAATTTAAAATGTATTCTCTGAACAGTGTTGGTAAATAATTGGTTGATAATGATGGTGATGTTGACTGGTCCTGCTAATTTTCTTGGTCTCTTCTTGTAAAATGCAAATGTAAGGCACTTTGAAGCAATACCAAAGAGGTATGTCTTCAGTTTATTTTAGGGAAGATTTTGGTTATTTGCTGTTTAATTCACAAGTAATTTGCATTGTCTTAATCTCTTTCAGGAGGAGAGCATTCCCATTGCTTTATCTGGTAGGGATATTTTAGCTAGAGCAAAAAATGGAACAGGCAAGAGTGGTGCCTACCTCATTCCCTTACTTGAAAGGCTAGACCTGAAGAAGGACAATATACAAGGTGAGCTGTTTAAACTAAAAATGACAGTTTAAACCTTGGAGCTATGTATTAATAATAGAAGATGATTATCTTTTGTTAGAATTTACATTTAATTTGTTAGAATTTAATCTAGAATTAGTATTTACCCTTTCTTTTTACAGCTCTATAAAGAGATTTGTAGTTTTCAAAGTATTTTTACATATTACACTGTATTGACAACATTCCAGTAAGATAAGCAAGGTAAGTTATTGCTTTACAGAAAGGAAAACTAAGATCTAGAGAAGTTCTGTTATCTCATGTTACTACTTTAAAAACTACAGAACTGTGATTTTACTTATATGTGGAATCTAATGAACAAAATAAACAAATAAAATCGGGGGGTGGGGGGAAACCCTGTGGAACTGAATTGTTTCTGTGGCAGCTTGTGTGTCTGCAAGATGCTTGTAGAAACATGAACCTTTTCTTTTTAAAGCCATGTGGTTTTAGGATTTTAAGAGCTTAGGCAGTAGGGACCCAGAAGCAAATTTCCATGCTTTTACCGAGAGTAAGCTAAAGAGTTTAGTTTTCACTTCTAAACCATCTTAAATTTTCAGATTTGTGATCTATAATTATCATTCTCCCATCTTCACTTTACATATTTTCATATGATGTAAATGAACCTAAGTAGTGAGACTTTCTTATTTGGGTGTTTAGACTAGTGAGTCTCTTACTGAAATATTAAATTAATAAACATTCAGCAGGTTGCCAACTCAAAGAATCCTTTAAAGCTTTGTAACTGAGAATAGTATAAGACTTAAATTCTTAAAATGTATGTTATTTGTTTCTTTTTTCTGTTGCTCGATATTTTCCAGCAATGGTGATTGTTCCTACAAGAGAACTTGCTCTACAGGTCAGTCAAATTTGCATCCAGGTCAGCAAACACATGGGAGGAGCCAAAGTGATGGCAACCACAGGAGGAACCAATTTACGGGATGACATAATGAGGCTTGATGATACAGGTAGGAAATACCTGACATAAGGTGGCCTACCTCACCAAGTGTAACTTCACACACAGGTGTTTCCTTTCCGTAATTTACTAAAAATTGTTATGAAGAATTAATGAGGAACAGAAACATTGCAGTAGAAAAATGAATAAAGGAAATGACAGTTTCATCCAAGAAAACATAAATAAAAACAGCAAATTGATAATGTGCCTTTCTGATTGGTGAGATCAGACAACATAAGTAGCCAATAATGTGAGTTTGTGGCAAAATAGACTGTCTTGCAGCATAGGGGTATAAGGCAAGTTGGCATTATATTTCAAAATTATAAATGTATATTTTCAAGAATCTTCCCTGAAGAAGTGATAGGGCAAATGCAAGGTTTCTTTACTACTGTGTGATTGTGTAGTAGTGAAAAATTGTAACAACCTAAACATAGAGGGTCGTCTGAATGGAATTCCACACAGTCATTAAAGAATGAGGCTGATTTGTATTCATTTTTATGAAGTTCTCCATGATACATTATTGTGTGGAAAAAGATAAAACAGCAAGAACAAGATCCACTTACATAAAATTACATAAAGACTTTTAGTGAGAATTTCCTAATTGTCATTAGATTAATTACTATATTCTTCATACTACACAGTTATTTAAAATGATTATCTCCTTTGATTCTTATAACAATCTTGTGAAGACCGTCACTTTAGTTGAGAGGCAGTCTAGTGTATCAGAAGCCTGATATGCCTTTTGCTATTCATTAGGGATTGTCCTAAGACAGGAAATTATGCCCTTTATTTGGAGCAGATGATTTGGAAAGCTGTAGCTCACCTCACGTATAGGTGAAACAAGTATTCTCTTAGCAAATCGAAGATACAGTGGAAACCCATATGCTAATTGTGAGGGATATGTTCTAAGACACCACCCCCCAGTGGATGCCTGAAACATAGGAAGTACCAAACCCTAAATTTATATATTGTTTTTCCCGTGCGTGCGTGCGTGTGTGTGTGTGTGTGTGTGTGTACACATATATACGTAAATACACACACACACCCCCCTATGATAAATATATAAATGAGGCATGGTAAGAGATTAACAACAAAAACTAATAATAAAATGGGACAACTATAGCAATATACTGTAACAGAATGTCGCCCCTCTCTGTTCACATCTACCACCCTCAGATTTAATGCCTTTCTCATCTTCACTTAAAAAGCATGTGTATGAACTGTGGGCCAACAGCAAAATTAGCACAATTTTTCCCCCCACAATTTCACGGGTAGAAGGTTGGTTTTCATTATAGATCTTAGCAAACTCCGCATACAGTTTTTTTTCTTAAATCGAGAACTTTAACCTTTTCAGTTAAAGGAAGCACTTTCATTTTTTCACTTGGGGAAGCACCTGAGCATACCCAAACTACCACTCTTGCACTTTGGGCCATTTAATTAAGTATTGAGTTAGCCAAAAAGTCAGTCTAGTTTTTTTGGGGGGGGGGGGCCATAAAATAAAAGACACATTTTTCATTTTCACCAATAACTGTTGGTTTGGATATTTTCAGTATGTCAGCTGTCTCCCATTTGGTACAGCATTGTTTGCAATTAATGCCACAACTTGGTGCCTATCAGCTTCAACTGGTCTACCCAACTGTGTAGCATCATCCAGCTAGAAATCTCCAGCATGAACTTCATAAACCACTTTTGACAAAGTCAGACAGTCATATCACCTCCTCAATCTACTGCACAAATCTTTTTTTTTTTTTTTTTTTTTTTGCTTTTCAGTTGCATTTTTACCTATCTTGAAATAATATAGCATAATATGCTGAAAATGTTTATTTTCTTACATCTTCAGTATTAAAATGGCTACACAGAAATTCATCAGTTTTGATAAGGTTTTTAAAAATGCACAGTGATACAACAGCTGTCACAATACAATCTAACAAAATTGTTTTAAATGAAGTTAAAGACACCTAAACTCTACTAGAGCCATCTTATAGAGGAAACCAAACAAACTTTTTGGCCAACCCAATAAAATAAATGTTATTATACACAAGCACTGAGGTACAGCAGTCTGACAGCCTAGGAAGCTACTAAGTGATGTAACAGGTGAGTAGCAGATATACTAGACAAAAGGATAACTTACATCCTGGGCAGGATGGAGTGGGAGGGTGTGAGTTTTCATCACGCTACTCAGAATGGCATGAGATTTAAAGCGTACGAATTCTTTATTTCTGGAATTTTCCATTTAATATTTTCAGACTACCATGGAAAGTGAAACTGGATAAGGGTACTACTGAATTCCTACCTCTACAACGATATTTCTGATAAAATATATATATTTTAAAAGGTTTATGTATGTATACAAACCTTTACTACATCCTTTTTTCCCAAGCTAAAATTAATGAGAATATGTTTTCTAATCTTGCATAGTGCACGTGGTAATAGCTACCCCTGGGAGAATCTTGGATCTTATCAAGAAAGGAGTAGCAAAGGTTGATCATGTCCAGATGATAGTATTGGATGAGGTAATGTCTCTTTATTTGGAAAGATGTTATTCTGTATTATTCTGAGCTTTGTTTATAACTGTCAGTAATTGAAGCAAAGCTTCTATGTCTTTTATGACCTAATAAACATGACTTTTGTAGTTCAAACTAATTTGCTCATAAAATGTTTTATAGAAAATGTGATCTTTATATATTGTACAGAAGGGAAAAAGTTTCTATAATTGAATATGTATTATGTTTGTTAAAAAATACCTTAAAGAGCTTTAGAGTAAAAATATAATTCAGGTGAAAAAAAGAGGCACTACATGATAGGAATTCATAGGAATTGTTCCACCTCGTCTTTCTTAAGTATGCAAGATAGTTCAGGGTTTTTTTCCTGTTTTCCAAGAAGTTGTTGAATAGCCTCAGACCAAGTTCATTCTAAGTCTCTTTCCACTCAGTGATACATCTTAAAAAGCATGTAATATCTAACTCAGTATTTAGCATATAATACTTTGTATTGTTTGATTTTTTTTCAGTCTCTATTACATGTGTTATCTCACCATGTAATGAGTGCCTTTTAAGTACTTATTCAACTCTGTCTTTGGGCTCTGGTGGTGTTTTTTTATATATGCAGTAATGTCATTGTTAATATTTTGAAATAAAGTTAGTTGTCTTGTTGGTCTGCATTTTAGGATAGCTAGATCAGGTTGATCATGGTCTAATTCAGATCAGAGTTTGGTTTTTGTTTTTTAGTAACAAGATAACAGTCACTACTAACACTAAGTACTTCATGTTCGTTTGTTGTTGTTTAATTTAATTTTTGCAACAATCCTGTAGTTAACTATTTTGAGCATACATTCTAATTTTAAAACTATGGAATCTGAAGTGTTGATTGGTTAAGCAACCTCCCAACATAGCTAGGAAGTGAAAGAGACAAGATTTCAATCCAGGTAATTTGATTCTGTACCTGTATCAATACTTTTAACCACTATATCATACTGCCTCTTTAATAGAAATCACATTAAAATTCTGTTATGGGAACAAGGATTATATCTGTCTAGGATTCCCCTACCCTCACCCTCAAAGATGGGCATTAGAGACCTTTTTCCCCTTCTGAATCACTGGGCATGTGTCTTGGTGCTATTGAATTATGCGGTGTTGTAGAGAACTTACATGTTTACAACCAGGAACATTCCATGAATGCTCTTATTGGATGAAGCCTCATTAACCAAAGACCTTGACATTATTTGATTACTTTTAAAATTGTCTTCTCTTTGTATTGCAGGCAGATAAGTTGCTGTCACAGGATTTTGTGCAGATAATGGAGGATATTATTCTCACTCTACCTAAAAACAGACAGATTTTATTATATTCTGCTACTTTCCCTCTTAGTGTACAGAAGTTCATGGTGAGTATAAGACAAATGTACTTTGAAGCAGTGCCATCCTGTTGCCCATGAGTATACCTTTATTCATCATTACGTCTCATCAGTCTGTACTTTGGGCTGATTATTTCAAGTTTATAGCTTTTTCTTCGGCTAATCAGTTAAAGTTGTGCATAAATTAACTGATTTTTTTTTTTTTAACTATAATAGTAATCTGATTAAAATCTTGATTGTTCACTTAGTTTTTGGTATCAGGCTGACATAGCCATTGATGCCCGGTAAATTGCTTAGAGCATAATCCTATTTACAAAGTACAAAATAGTAACTTAGCTATGTATCTGAATGTTAGATCTCCCACTTAATTGTAATTTATTTCTTCCATGACAAATTATTTGTACTTGTTTTGAAGAGGGCTGCATCCCTTAAAGAAAGAGTTTATCAGAGATGTATAGGATATATTTTGAGTTTAAGAAATACACTCTTCTCACTTAAGAACAAGACTCTTCTTTTTTTTCCCCCCCCAGAATTCCCATTTGCAGAAACCCTATGAGATTAACCTGATGGAGGAACTAACTTTGAAGGGAGTAACCCAGTACTACGCATATGTAACTGAGCGCCAAAAAGTACACTGCCTCAACACACTTTTCTCCAGGGTAAATAATAGGCTTCAGCTGCTGAACATTATCCATTACTTAAACCCAATAAAACAGGCCTAGCCCCAGCTGGTGTGGCTCAGTTGGTTGGGCATGGTCCTGCAAACTGAAGGGTTGCTGGTTTGTTTCCTGGTCTGGGCACATGCCTGGTTTGCAGGTTTGTCCCCAGTTGGGGAATGTATGGAAGGCAGCCAATCCTTCCCCTACTCTTTAAATCAAAAATAATAAAACTAAAACAGACAGTTGTATCTGTTTTCCCACCACTTTAAATTTTTTTTTTTAAAGGCCTTCGCTTTTCCTAAAAGACAGTTTCCGTTGAGCTGAAGTTGATAGGGTATACGGTATAAGTCACAGGCACTTCTAATTTAATTGTAAAATAGTTTGATCCTGATTACAGTTGACCCTCATTATTTGAAGATTGTGTATTTGCAAATTTGTCAACTTGCCAAAATTTATTTGTAGCCACAAAAATCAATACTCATGTGCTTTTGAGGTCATTTGTAGATGTGCATATTCCCAACTGCAAGGCAACACTGCCTTCTTTAAGCTCTCATACCACATACCAATATTTTTCTCATGGCCTATTTAATGCCCTTTTTTTTTTTTTTTTTTTTTTTGACAGTTTTGTGCCTTTTTTGTAGATCTCATTGTTTAAAAGGTCCCCTAAGCATAGCACTGAAGTGATGTTTAGTGTACCTAAGTACAAGAAGACTGATGTGCCTTGCAGAAAATGTGTGTTAGATAAACTTTGTACAGGCGTGAGTTATGGTGCTATTGGTCATGAGTAGGTAAGGTGTCTTTAAATGGTAACACACATAAAACAAGGTTGTCTTATTAATTCATTGATGAAAAACTTATGGTCAGAGACTTACAGGAACTACCCTGTGTTTCTCCTAGGAGCAGTGGTTCTGTATTTACTAATTCAGGGTTTGCAACAACCTTACAGAATATAACTATCACAAATGATAATTGGCTGTATTTTACTCCTGGTGGCAATCACGTACCTTTATGAAATACACTCTTCAATAAAACTTATAAATTATTTTCTGCAACTGTGAAGTAAATAAGTAGTAGTTACAGTTTTGCATCTCTTGTATCATAAGATTTTAAGTCATAAACAGTGGTTTTTAACATTTTGTTTGCCAGTCACTATTTTCAAGATGTGCAAAAGTAAATAAAGGGTTTTATTTCCCCTTGTGCTCAGCTTCAGATAAACCAGTCGATCATTTTCTGTAACTCCTCTCAGCGAGTTGAATTGCTAGCCAAGAAGATTTCTCAACTGGGTTATTCTTGCTTCTATATCCATGCTAAAATGAGGCAGGTAAGTGTAAAACTAGAACTTGCACAGATTTTTATAAAATCTTTGTCTCAGTATTTCTTGGATTTTGTTTTAATGCTCTACCAAATGTCCTGAGTTTAAGAATAAATTTTTCCTTAGTAGGCAAAGGGACTCTTCATTTTAACTTGTCAGAGGTTCAGTTTTCTAACTATGAAATAAGGGTAGTAACACATACTCTTACCGCACAAGGAAGATTGAGATAATGTATGAATGTTTGTAAACTGTCAAGCATGATACAAATATGAGACTTTATTCTCTTCTTTCCCCAGGTAATCTCTAGATTTGCACTATTTAATGAAATAGCCTTTAGCCACATGTGGCAATTTAAATGAGTTAAAATTAAATAAAATTAAAATTTAGTTTCTCAGTCACTTTAACTACATTTCAAGTGCCTCATTACATGTCACTAGCAGCTACAGTTTTGAGTAGTAAAGATACAGAACATTTCCATTATTGCAAAATGTTCTATTGGACAATACAGCAGTGTATTTTTAATGTGTCTATATACCTCCTCAACCAAATGTTTTTTCTTTACTATTTGCCTGAAGAAAAGGATGGAAACTCTAAATTTCTGAACTTATTTAACAGAGAATAAATTCACAACCATAACAAGACATATTTTTGTGTATGTACTAACTCTTAACTGAAATTTCATGAAAAGAAAGCAATTTCTCTGTAGACTTGTCAGGTTAAGAACTTAAATTAGTCAACTTGTACTTTGTTTTCAAAGACACTTAATGTCATGGATCAGATACCATCATCATAGGAAATGAATATATTAAGCTGGTAAAATATTTTAAAGTGGAAGAATGTTGTACTGAAAAGATAAGCCACTTTGCCAGATGCTAGGTTTATCACTTTTCTTATAGCCATTGTGTATGTTTTCATTTAGCTTTTTGTATATCATTACTAAAATGGTAGATGATTTGGTTGAGCAAAAGTTTTGGCATTTTTCTGTTTGAAACGTTTTTGGGGAGAGGGGCAGGGGGAGAGAAAGAGAAAGCATAGTGAAAATTGTTACTTGAAATCCACTCCAGCAAAAAATATAAATACTTTTAAGAGTTAAAATAAATGCTCCATATAGATATGCATAGATAGGTATTAAGTTGCCTAAAAATTCCCATGGGAAACCAATTAATGGATTTTTTTAATTTTTTTAAAAATTTTTTAATGATAAATGGAGTTGCGTACAACTCTTATGAGAGTGAAAGACTTCAATAAATTTTACATTGGTAGAGTGTCTCAGGGTGTCAGCTTTCAAAGGTAAAGTATTAGTGTCAGGAGTTGATCTTTGGGGAAGTCAATCTTTAAAATTTCATAAAGGTAAAAGCATTTCACCGCAAGTTTTTTTTTAATGTGTATTTTGGATCATTGTATAGTCAATTGATTGTGCCATTTGAGATACTGGAAAAAAATCTGCCAAAAAATGGTCAATATGTTGGTTATTGTATGTACAGTCTAGGAATGCAAAACGTCCTTTCTTATGTTGTACTTTGTGTAAAGTTGTGTTTTATAGTAGGAAATATTTAGTGTCTGTAGTAATCATTTAAATATAGTTTAAATGTTAACACAATTATATACATATATGCAGACACACAAAATTGATGGTTTTGTAATGTCTCTCTTTTAACTTCTACCTTTTTTCCCTAATAATTTGATATTTATCATCTGTTATTTTTAATGTATATGTATTGAATTGGTTTGCCTTGCAATTGTGTAAACACATTTTGTATAGAAGAAGTAATGGGAAATTTGGGGCTATGTGTATGACTTTTAATCAAATCAAATGAATTGCTTTTCTCCTAGGAACATCGAAATCGTGTCTTTCATGATTTCCGAAATGGCTTATGCCGCAATCTTGTTTGCACTGGTAAGTATTTCTTATTTCCTGTAATCATTGCTTTTCTCCCTAGTTCTGCTTTGCTTTCTCTCTTCCATGGTACGCAGCAGGAGCTTGTGACATACATAACCTAGCTTACTCTATTACCACTTCTAGAATTTCTGAAGTAGAGAAGGGGCTGTAGTTAATTCCCAGAATTAGGTTCTATATCTGAAACTATAGAAGACTTGTTCTGGCACTCCTATCTTATTTACTAATTTGGAGTTTGTGTGTGTTCTAAATAGCATACAGGAGTAAATTATATATAGCACATGCAAAGTTAATTAATAATCATAGTATTGGTATGAGGTTAATCTTCTGGATGGAAAGAAGATCGTATATTTTTAAATCACTGAGGTATACACACATAAATTACAAGTAATACTGAGTTTTTACACGTGTATACACTCATGTAACCACACAAATCAAGATTTAGAGTATTTCAACATCTTTATTTGTATTACTATTATTTTTTTAATCCTCACCTGAGGACCTGCCCATTGATTTTAGAAGGAGAGAAACATCAATCAATGGAACATCAATGGGTTGCCTCTTGAACATACGCCATCCAGGGACCAAAATTGCAACCTACACATGTGCCCTGACTGGGGATCACGTACATTACTTTCCTTGTAAGTGGTGACATTCCAATCGAACCACATTGGCCAAGGCTCAAAATTTGTAGTTTTAAAAACTCTGCCCTGGCTGGTGTGGCTCAGTAGATTTAGTGCTAGCCTGTGAACCAAAAGGTCCTGATTTAATTGGCATATGCCTGGGTTGGAGGCCAGGTCTCCAGCTGGGGGCATGCTAGAGGCAACTGATCGATGTTGCGCTCCCTCTTTCCTCCTTCCCTTCCCCTCTCTCTCTCAAAATAAATAAATAAATCTCTTAAAAAAGAAAGAACAAAACTCTGCTTCCTTTGCCAGTGGTGCTTGGTTTTAGATTATCGTCTTGTAACCAAAAGGTTGCAGATTCAATTCCCAGTCAACGCATATATCTAGGTTGCAGGTTTGATCCCCTGTCCTGGTGTATATGATGCCCAGTTTGCGCACATGTTGGGGGCAGTCAACCAATGTTTCTCTCCCTTTCTTACCTTCTTTCTCTAGAAGCAATGGAAAAATGTCCTCAGGTGAGGATTTTAAAAATTCTGCTATAGAAATAAACTCCCAAATGTTTTTTATCAGAATATTAAATTTGTTAATTTATAAGAATCAAAAAAAAGGACTATCAAATATCTTGGACACATTTCTATCTTGTTTCTTTACCTTATATCCGAAGGACAGTTAATATAGTTGTGAATTAATACATTTATGTTTGCATTTATCAACACTTTAATCTTTAAATATATTGAAGTATTCAAAATGTAAAGTACTTGATTAAGTGGAAAGAATACTAGACTCCTGAATTTTAAAATTAGGGTCCTAAGTCCTGCCTTTACTTACCTCTAAATCGTAGGACGATAAGCAACTTATCTTTTTCTTTTATGCCATTTTTTTTTTAACTTGTAAAATGAGGATGCTCTAAACTGAATTCTGGACAAATATTTGTTGTATTTTATTCAAAAAGTATTTATTGATATTCAACAAATATTTATTATTTGCTAGGTGCTGCAAAACTGTATGTTCCCCAGTTTTATGTGATGAGTATTTTACCACAATTAAAAATTTTTTAAGTATATATACACATGCTCTCTGTATTTGAGGAGCCTATAATCTAGATGAGGAAATAATTTATCAGTGAATTGGTAATCAAGTTCAGAATGTATAGACAAGCAGAAGGTGTCATTTGCTATTAAGCAGTTCCCTATTATTGTTCAAGTACAGTTGTCTCCATTTTCCCGCCACCACTTCCCCCTGCCCCACCCACCCCCACCTCCCAGCCTCATTCATTCCCCACTTTGGCTTTGTCCACATGTCCTTTATACATGTTCCTTGACCCTTTCCCTTCTTTTCCCTGACTCTATTTTTTTTTAACAGTTTTTTGTTTCGTTGTTTATTTTATTTATTGATTTCTAGATGGAGGGGAAGGGGGGAAGAGAGAGAGAGAGAAACATCAGTTGGTTGCCTCGCACACCCCCAACTGGGGACCTGGCCTGCAACCCAAGCATATGCCTTGACTGGAAATCGAACCCAGTGGACTTTCTGTTCACAGGCCAGTTCTTAACCCCCAGAGCCACACCAGCCAGGGCACAGTTCCCTATTTGAATAAGAAATGTTTTTATCCAGGAAAAGCTCACTGTGCTTATAGTACTTAATACACTGATTTGAATTATTGTGGTTAATGGGTTTTATTTTTAATCATTACTTATAAGGTTGCCCTCAGATAAGTTTTTGAAGTGCCAGAGCTTTCTCCTATCTGATTTTTCAGAACAGTGACATGTCCTTAAGTACTAACATGTATTAAATGTTTAAATAAATACATGCAGAGTACCACCCTTTTCTTCAACAAGCACTGGTTTAATCAGTGATAAAAAAGATGAACAACATTGAGTCTAAGGCAGGGCATGCACACTTTTGCTGTAAAATGGCAGGCAGTAAATATTTTAGACTTAGTACAACATGTGGTCTGTTATGAGTTACTCAACTCTCATTTTAACTCAGAAGCACACTTAGCTAGTACATAAACAAATGGGCATGGCCATGTGGCAGCAAAACTAATTTACGAAAACAATTTGGGCTGGATCTTTAAGGGAGTAAAGGTAATTTGCAGATGTGAGGTATGTACACTGTTGACCCTTGAACAACATGGATTTGAACTGCATGGATCCACTTATATGCAGATTATTTTTCAATAAGTACAGTGAGTGTATTTATTGGAAGTTTTCTTGAAAGCTAAAGAAAATGCTCTTAAGACAATAAGGAAAATTCTTTATCGTAAGAACACAGTATATAAAACACAAATTATGTGTTAATCAGGTATTTGTTACCAATAAGGCATCAGGTCAGTAGTAGGCTGTATTAGTAGTTAAATTTTGGGAGAGTCAAGTTATTTTCAACTGTGCAAGGGTAGGTGACCCTGGACCATGCCCCACCATTTTATATTGTGTAAGGGTCAACTGTAGTAATAAGCAAGCTTAAATTTTCATAGGAGAGGAAAGTAACTAGCTGAGGTTATCTGAGAATAGGTAGAATTTTAATTGGCTTTATAAGCTAAGATAGTTTAGTTTAGGGGACTGATGCAAAAAGTGATCCATAGAGGGCTAACATATGTTCAAGGAAGGGTAAGTTTGAGATGTGTCAGAAACTTAAGAGCATAATACAGAGAAGAGAACCTTGAATGTCAGTTTTAAATTTTATCTGGAGACAATTCAAAGCAATGAGTTACAAAATCAGAATAGTATTTTAGAACTACTATTCTGACCATTATGGATTATTTTGTTCTAGTGTGGAGCTGATAGAAGCAGGGAAACCGAGTTATTAGTCTGTTGTTTTTATTTACAGTTTTCAGAGCTTAAATTACCTAGTAATTGTGAGACTAGAAAAGATTAGAAGAGATGACTTTGCATATTAGCTTATCCCAGTCCTATTACAAATAGTTTAGCAGAATTGGATGAATGAATTTTAAACAAAACATAATTACTGCTAAGTGTATCCCTGTATTCTTGCCATGTGTAATGCCTAGTCAGTGTTTTTGTGCTCATTATTCACAGCATCATTATGCCTGTGGTATGTAATCATTATACCCATGTATAATGTGCATCCTTACTCTCCCCTCAAAAACTTGGGCCAAAAAAAAAATGTGCATTATATATGGCAAAATGTGGTATTTTCTTTTTTGAAGTATGCTGTATTATAGAACAAACTTTTTAAAGATAATTTACTATTTCATCTTAAATACTGGAACATAGACTAAAGAAAATAAATTACTGGTCATTTCTGAGATCCACTTAGGAGTTTACCAGTTATCCTGGTCTCTACCTGTATTTCCAATTACCATAGACCATTTTCTAAAACTTCTTATAGAACTGGGTAAAGGTAACTTGAGAATGGAAAGTTATTTATGATAATCATGAAAGGTAATGCCAGTAATTTGTAAATGCATTTGAATTACCAAAAAAAAGTAAATTAATTTAGGTTATATTAAAAATATCTGTTAAATAGTATTATGGTACCGAGATGCTTAAAATTGCTTAAATGCTAAAAAATTGGAAGACCTAATGGAGATTTTTTGTTTGTTTTTTAAAGATTTGTTTACCCGAGGTATTGATATACAAGCTGTGAATGTGGTAATAAACTTTGACTTCCCAAAGCTGGCAGAGACCTATCTCCATCGTATTGGAAGATCAGGTGAGGAAAAGAAAGGAGATGTTCTTTGTGGAAGTTTTTTGAGAAGTTCATTCACTAAATTTCATTTTCCTGTGAAATAGAGTTTGGTAGCAGTGAGAACAGTGAATTAGAACTAATTTAGTTGTTTGATATTTAAGGCTACTTTCTGGTTCTAGAATACTCAGAAAAGTTAACTACCATATGCTTATTAATTTGAGATTAAGTTCACAAAGGAGAAATCTCACTTTTTTCATTAGGTGGTGCAGTCGGTAACTACTGTTTAGTATGTATTTTGGCAACTTTTTTTCCTAATGTTTTTAAAGTGATTATGTTTTTTCCTATGTAATTAATGGCCTAACCTATTCCCAAGTCCAGAACACAGTCTCCTGGTTTAGGCAACTTTTGACAAAAGTAAACATCCATATTGTCATTCGAAAAAGGTAAAATAGAGTACTAGTGTGGGCTGTGAAACCTGAAATAATGTGAATGTAAAGAGACTAGAAAAAGTGGTTTTGTATATCCAGAATGGCACTGAACAAAAATATTAATCCTCTATGGTTTTGACGCTTACAGACTTGCACACACACATTGATTCTTATATTTAACTACTACTTTTATCAATTAACAATGTTTTTTTGTAAGGTCGCTTTGGTCATCTTGGCTTAGCCATCAACTTGATCACATATGATGATCGCTTCAACCTGAAAAGTATTGAGGAGCAGCTGGGAACAGAAATTAAACCTATTCCAAGCAACATTGACAAGAGCCTATATGTGGCAGAATACCACAGTGAGCCTGTAGAAGATGATAAACCATAACAAGCATGTGCGTACCTTACGAGATAGCTCAGTGAGCATAATGTTGAAAGGAGTCAATATCCTCTTTCATGGGGGAAATTTGATGTCCCTACTATATGTAATAGCAATAGAGGGTAAAACAAATGTTTTCCTTGTTGGCACAAATGACAGTATCTCTTGGGTGAAGTTGGGGTCTGTCTCTTTAGAGAAGAATCCATACAGTTCTTAAATGCAGTCTTCCAAAGGAATGTGATATGTGAACAGTACTAGGACAAATTCAAACTTCAAAAATAATGAAAGCAAAGAAAATCTGCTTCAGCAATTTTTGAATGTGAAAATATTTTCCTTTATCATTCAGTCATCTCTGTTGAAATTTAGTCTTAATTTCTAAAGGGTACCTTAGTAAATCAAATTAAATAACCTGTAGTACCTTATTGCCAAATGTGTAATCAGGTTATGAGGATAACTGTCTTTTTTTAAATGCTTACCCACTCTGGTTTCCTCCACCACCCTCTCACTTCATCTTTTGGTGACTCTCAGGCCCTGGTAATACTGAAAACAAGGCTCAACTTAAAGGAAAGGAGATGACTGTGTCTGGAGTTTTTTTTTTTTAAGGAAAATCTTGTTCAATTTGAGTGATGATGGTTTCCAAATTAGGAATGAACATTTTACCTGCCTTTAGATTTTTCTAATTACTCTTTTTACTTTTTAAAAAGCTTAAATGTCAAACAAAATTCTCAGCCAAACAAAACTAGCTAGTATTTGCTAGTATATTGGCAGACTATTTATTAAGTTTGTGTAAGGTTTAAAAAAAAAAGTTGGTTTAAGTGTTGTGAATGACTGCTGGCTGTTACCAGAATCTGCAGGCTCTCATTCTGTCTCTAGAATGCCTAGCAGAAAAAAATCTTTAATCCTACATGGATTTGTACAGTAAGCAAAAGCTCAGCAGAAGCTATTAAAGAGAGAACATTTGGGATGGGGATTGTGAAAACCTATATAATATAATTCATATTGCTGTTACAAGTGTTAATTTTAGGTTTCTTCTTTCTTTAGGCTTTGGCAAACTAAAGAAGGCTTGTTCGGATCTGTGACACATCATTTTGGGGGGATGCTCTTCTCTTTGTGGGTTTTTCATCTTTTATTTTGGAACTACGAGGACTTAAAAGAGCTCAGACTTTTTTTTTTTTAACTGGTGAAGAGAAAAAAATCTGAAAAGAAGGAATTACCTTTTTTGTTCCACTTGTTTGCACTGTGTGCTGACTGAACATTAGTTGCACTAACTGCTGGTTTTTTAAAAATGTTTTCTGGGGAAGAAGGGGGACAAGGAAGGAGGAGAAAGAAGAGAAGGGAAGAAACCCTAAAAAGAGAAGAATCTTGACGAACACACAAGCTTGTCTACAATTTCAGAATTTTCCAACAGCTGATTCTTGAGTGCATTTCAACTTCTCCCTGATTACTCATCCGTTTTTTAAGCCTGGAGAGCTTATTACTTATTTGTGCGAAGTGCCTTATGCTATGAGACCATTCAGAATATCATCTTTTAGACACAGCCCAAGGAATCAACAGTAGTAATTCTTTCTTTTCTTTTTTCTCTTTAAAACTTTTTCTTTCATTTGGTTCAAGTTGAAGTCTCTTCCCTTTCTACCCAATACTCAAGCCCAGGGCTGGAAGATGAAACGTATTAGTAATGTTAAATATCATTTTCTTTTTCTTTAAGTGGAGGAGTTGATATGCAACTGCAGTTCATCCGCACTGTAAATACATGTATTTAAAAAAAAAAAAACAAAAAACTCCCAAGTAAAAATTTTTTTGGGCTGAGTAGATGCAACATCATCGCTCCCAAAGGAAAGAGCAGTCTATATCATTGCAGGAGCCATATGACAAGCCTTTGTGCTCTATAGCAGAACACTAAAGACTGGTTTACATACGCCTCCATTAGCAGTTATGGCACTTGATGTGTAGACATGTCAGCCTTGACCCTCTTTCCTCTGTGGCAAAGCGTGTCCCGTAGAAAATTGGGTGTGTATACTTGTATAAACTTTGTAAATAAGGTCCCCCCTCCACCCCCCGGGTTCATACACACACACCTTTTTTTCCCCGCCCCCCCCCTTTTTTTTTTTTTGTTTGTTTGTTTGTTTGTTTGGATGAAGGTTGCTGGGATTAAGGGGATTAGAGTGATTATGGGAGCAGCTAAAGATGAGAGGGGCTCAGTTTTCCGCAACACTAAATTCTAAAAAGTGCTTTGGCCTCCTACTATAGAAAGCAGACCTCTCTTGGGACCCTGTGTTGGAAAAGGGCCCCAGATGTCTTCACTGTTTGCTGCCATGCTGACCATGTATAGAGGAGGCCTGCCAGGGGGAGCAAGGAAATTTCAAAATGTGTAATTCATGGTGTTATTTTTGAGAAGCTCTCTCTGCTGCTTCTTCCCCCTTTTTAAAAGTTTGAGAAACTTCAAGCTCTGCAAAAGGGGACAAAGATTAATCTGCCTTGTAGTGTGGGAATTCAGTTTAGTGGCAGTGTATGTATAAAGCATGGATTTGCATTTCGCAGTATTAGCCAGCTACCAGCTTTGGTACAGTTAGTAGTTCTGGGCCTTAATTTCTGTGGATCACCTGTACTGTGCAAGTGTGTTGCCCTCTGCCCACCTTGATACATAAACTTGCAAAAATGGGCAACCCCTGAGAGCTGTTAACTTTTATGCTACAGAAAGCTGCTTGCTATCCTCTAGCTTTGTGACCAGAATTATTTGTTATCTTGCATTGTAAATTGCTGGCAAATGCTTTACAGTCAATAGTGTTGCATTAAATTGTGCCCCTCCCAACATGCTTGATGTTTGGCCTGATCTCCAGGCAAAAGGAGTGAGATGAATCAAAACCAGTGAACTTTTTTTTTAAATGTTTTTAATTCCCTTTTAACCCAGTGTACAAGGTCAATCAGGAGGCATCTAGGGTTAAAATAAGAATTTTCAAGAGTTTGATTTCCACATTTCATTATTTTTCAAATCCCTAAAATATTAGAAGTCCTGCAAATGCTTTTATGCTTAACTCATCTGGATTAAATCAATTATTTAAAGTTGCATTATTTACAGTCTGGTCAACAAAAACTTTGTGACCCTCCCAGAATATCTTGATCAAAATCTTGCAGATGCCTCCTGATTAGACATAGCCCTAACTCCTTAAAAACTAGCAAGAGCTGCACAGTACAAACTCAAAAAAGAAAAAGCTCATTTGGTATCCAGCCAATGTTGGCTACTAAATACAAGCCCTAATTAAGGAAGTAACTTTTTTCCCCCAGGGAGGGATGGGGGAGGGGATTTAAAAGGCATCAACTTTTGACCAAAAAAGAGAACTTGCCCTAGTACTGATGCAGTGCTCTTTTTCTCTCGCACCTCTGGCAAGATAAGAGGGGTCATTATAAGAGAGAGAGCTTATAAATGCAATTTTGTATCTTGCTAGAGAATGTGGGTAACTATATAAACAGCACAGTCCTCTTTGTCATCCTCAGACTGTCTGCTTGGTGCCACATGCCTGTGGGTCCTTCTTAAAGCACAGACTTTAAATGGAAAGTATTACTGAAGTACATCCTCTGATGAGGAGTGGCACTTAAACTGTTGGGACACCAATATTGGACACAGTGTTGTACAGGCAGCTGTCCAGTTTTGGTGCTTGACTCTTGAACTGTTAAGTGGAAAGATGCTCTAATGACTAGGTCAAAGCCTAGTCTCTCTTTAAATCCCCCTCACAATAAGGAGCATTTGTTACTATTGGAAATTTTCATGTTCTTCCAGTATTGGGTGTTTAAGTAATGCTAACATTTTTTCCAGTGGTTCATTTGGATGAAAACTATTATTTTTAATATTTAAATAATGTCCAGCCCATGGTTTAGCCTGTGGTTGTATACTTGTGTAATGGGTTATGGACTGTTACACACATTGTTGCCTCCGGGCCTATTTTATTGTTTTTCTCTTCCCATGCAAGCTGATGGAGGAACTCTCTTGCCTTTCCCTTAAGGATGGAATAAATTCCAAAATGTTCTATGGGAAGAAATAAGGGAGAGGGAAACCTAAATATATCTCTAAATTATTTTCAAATTGTCCCTGCACCATAGTGGTTGGCCCCAAAGGTTGGGGGTGGGGGGAGGCAACTGGTTATTAATATTTGTCTTCAGAATGAGATGGGAGCATCTTTCCTTTGCCATGTGCTTTGTGTTTGATACCATCATGTTGGGTTAGAACCTGACAACACAGCACAAAGATTGAGTGTAAATTGTTGGAATCAAAACATCTCATTCTGATTGCTTGGTTTATTTATTTTATTTTTTTAAATAGGGGTGGGAGGGAGGTAACTGCCCCAAAAGGGAGGGTGTCTGCACTAAGGATTCACGAACACTGAAAGCTCATAACCTCATCAGAAACTGCCTTGAACCACACACTCCTGACCTTATAGATGAGTAACAAAAAGATGAAATAAATTCTTGGAAATTAAGCCATGTTATTTTAATTTGCTACTTTTCTCAGTGTCCTATGTATCTTTGAAGTTGTTATTGTGTTACTGTTTTTCTGGCAAAATATCTTTTTCAAAATTGGCCTTGTGAGAGCTGAAGTCAGTCAACTTTTTGGTAAACTTACATGGACTTGTGTGGTGAGCTTGTAGTTCTTAGTATATATCCTTAAATATAGTTCTTTAAAACTTCCAAAGAAAATCTACTCTCCTGATCAAAAAACTCATCTTTAGGGTAAAGAGTTAAGGGTCCAAAATTTACAACAGTTCTTGAGGTCAGAGGGAGCTAGCCTGGCACCTGGACTCTGCCCCTCCGTAGCTGACAGATCTAACCGGAAGTGTATTTAAATTCTCCAGTAGACAATACTGGGCAAGGGAGGGGTAGGGTTGGGTTAAGATACAGACCTACTGTATTTTAATCAATGGTTTGTGGGTAAGGGGTGCCTGGAGAGAAAGTGTCCCCTTTTTGAAAACTAAAACCTGAAAAATTTTTGTTGCAAAAAAAAAAAAAAAAATGGGGTAGAATTTAATTGTCCCTAGCCACAAGGGACCAATTCCACTGAGATGTGAACAGTGGGGACTCAAAATTTGGAAAACATGGGGAAAGGGAAAATTGGCTTTCTGTTAATTGGCAAATGTTCCAGTAGGGCTTTGTTTTTGTTGGGGTGTGTTATGTTGTATGTGCACATATAGACCAAAATCTCTGCTGAATTAAAGTTCAGGAAAGATGGTTGATAAAATCTTGATTTTTGTTAATTTATCTCAATAAAAGCCCACTGGAACTCCAAATGTGTGTGTGTGTGGTGTGTGAGTAAGCAGAAGGCTATGCTATCTCAAGTAATTCATTGAATTGAAGCAGTAAGGCTACACTACTGTAAGCATAATGAATAAAATTTGGAAACATCATCCAGCTCTCCACATTTCACTTTGTCAATTTTCATAGCCTAAACCAGAGATGAAAATAATTTGGAAAGGAAGGTGTTGGTCCACAAAGGGTCCAAAGGGATTATGTAACAGTAGTCATCACCACCCAGAAGAATTTTTCGGATGTTTCAGAAATGCGAACATAGCCACAAGACTTCCTTAGGGATAAATCTAACATTGAGTGACATTTGTATGCTAAGAACTACAAAATACTGAGGAAAGGAAAGATCTAAATGGGAAATTCAGAAACAGCTGAATACGCCCCCCAAAAGGTATAACTCGCAATACAGAGTCGGGCAAAAGCAGGTGTACAGTTGAGTACATGGAACAGTTTATATTTTACACATGAACAAGCACACCTACTTTCGCCCACCCTGTCTGTGCAAGACTGACCAATCGTAGAAAGTACTGCGTGCACTGGCTGGATGGCTCAATTGTTTGGGAGTGTTGTTCCACACACCAAAAGGTTAGAGGTTTGATTCCTGGTCACGGTACATACAGGAGGTAACTGATCAGTGTTTCAAATCAATAATTACACCCTCAGGTGAGGATTGAAAAACTTTTTAATTAAAGTGGACTGGGTATTTCTCTGTCTTAGCTCACTTCGGGTTCCTCTACACCTACGTTTGTAAATAAGGGTGTAGGTAAATTGTCCTCATTTCTTCCCAGTACAAGTGTGCCCTTTTTTTTGGGACCCAGGCAGTATTAGGGATAATAAGTGACCTCAGGAAACAGATTCTGAGATTCTGGAATCAGATTATACTTGATGAGATGAATAATTTTGTGGGTGTTAGTGGAGGGGAGGAAGGGGATGGGGCACGAAAAATCCACAGCATACAGTGTCATAATTCATATTTTTACTGGTGGTGTCATTGGATGAACAGGTAAAGGAAA